TTATTTAAGTAGGTATTTTAATAAGAAGGTAAGTAATATAAGTAGTTCTTAAAAGGTATATAACGTGGGATTAGGTTATTATTATATTATAAGATAAGGCGAGTAAAAAAGTACCTATAAATATACTATTATTCTTCTATTTAAGGGATTCTTTATAAATACGCATTTAAGTAATTATACTATTAGCGTTAAATTCGCTCTTTATATTATTAGAATCTTCTCTCTCTTTATTAGATAATTAGCTTCGTTTAATACTAGAAAAACAATTCCCTTATATATTAAAGGTACTAAAGCGATTAAATAAGTGAATTCAAATTATATATTTCTTATTACCTAGCGTTAAGCGTGGTATTAATATAAGAAAAGCTAAACTATTATCTAGTATATATCCTAATTAAATGTAATAGCTCTTCTTCGCATCTTATTTGTAAATAATAGCGCCTATTAGGTTAATAAAGGACTTATTTTCGTTTTAACGTTTAACCTTAATTAAAACCTAATTAAAGCTATTATTAGCTTATTAGTTAATAATCCTAAATAATTTCACGTACGTAAGGGGATTAGGGAAGGTTACTAGTAATTATTATATTACATTAATTTACGTAATAGAAAGGCTATAAAAGAGACCCACGCTAAGGGTAAGTATATATAAGGAATTAAGTAATACTAAGGACTTAGCGTATATGTTCTTTAAAATAGTTATTACATAACATAGATTATTAATAAAGCTTATGTTAGATCGTAATAAATTGTTTACCTTAAACTTTTAAAAATGCCTTATAAAAACTATAAAGATTAAATAAAGCTTATTAATAGCATTCCACCTACAATTAAATGGATAAATAGAAATCTTAAACTAAATACTCGAATAATATCTGTAAAGCTATATTAACTACTAATAGAATAATTAAGTAAAATGGCTATTACTAGTATAATAGGCTTATAATAGCTCTAAGATTAATAATATAAAGATATTACTATTTAGAGTAAATTACGGATTTAACCCTATTATTAAAATATATATAATATAGAATGTGAACGCGCTAGTAGCTATAACGTATATAGTAACTATAATAAAAATATAAAAACACTTATAATAGGAATAGATATTTTTATAGAATTAAATGAAATACTACGCGAATAAATCTATAAGTTAATTAAAGAACCG